CCCCAAGTTTGCCAGGACCAATGCAGCTAGAACAAAATGGCCAACTGGGAAACCTTTGGATTTTCCTGCCACTCTCAAAACACCCTTCTAGTACTCAAGGGAAAGGGAAATGGAGGGGGAAGGGAAGCAAGAATAGGGTCTCCTGCTCTGTGTAGGTGTGCAGGGAGCCCCACAGATTCATAGGAGGCCTGGCAGGTGTGAGCAGGTCACACAGGGCTGCCGAGGAGGTGATGCCAGCTGCCTTCCCTGTGCCCTCACTGTAAGGCAGTGGAGGTGGCTTTACACTCTTTCTACAACTGAAAGGATCAAGCCTAAAAACTGCTGGAATGCTACTTTCTTTAAAATTCCAGGCTTTTTAAAGAGCAGTAAAGTTTTTGGGGGGAGGTGCAGCTGGCTGGTATGGGGATCTGAACCCTTGAATTTTCTTAATATCGATTTGAAAACAACAGGAATATAAATTTTCCACAAAACACTTCAAAGTACTTGTGAAAAGACAAAATGACAACAATTTAAAGGTCATATTTGACTTTATGAGGGTACTTCAAAAAATTTGGGGAGTGACGTAACAGTAAGGTCAAGGGTTCAGATCCCTGTACTGGCCAGCCACCAAAAAGAAAAGTTTGTGGAAAAATGGAATTAAAAGATAATTCAAATCTTTCTATGAACTTTTTGAAGTACCCTCGTATTTGTGATTCTCTAATCGGGCAATACTTCATTCTGTAAAATATAAAAAGTGTTCTAATGAGCTGAGCAGAGGGAGATTGGTTTTACAGACAGAAAAGGGCTGAAGAAAGCAGAGATGAAGAACAAAAAGGATTCGTCATTTCAAACGTACTTCCCTGGTGAGGCGGGAACAGGGAACAGAGCAGTAGAAAAATGACTGGTTAACGTCAGGTTGCTTTAGGTTATTATTATTGTTATTATTTTTTTGGTAAGGATTAAAGCAGAGGGAACTTTATCATCATGCTGACTGAAACTGGCCTGTTTGGGAAATTCGGCTATTATCTCTCTCTCCTGATTTCTTAGAGGTCAGAAGATGAGGTGATGAGGAACTTTAGTATGAGTGACTCCATTTTGGTTTTTAGTCTGGTCTGTTGGTACCTGGTGCAGGAGTTTATTCCAAAACAATGGCCTCCTATAATTTTTATTTAACATACTTTGCCCTTTTCAGAAGGACAAGGTTGTCCAGATTTGGTTCAACCATAGCATGAGCTAGTTATGGAAAAAAAAACTTTAATTTTCTTTGTTTTGTAATAAAGGTGAATTTATTTCCTATGAGCTGGCACTCCCTTTTATGATTATCATTATGCAGAGGAGGGAATTTAGGGTACAAAGAGATTACATAACTACTACGAGGTCACACAGCATGGGGTGGGAGGAGAGGGAGCCTGGGTGCACATGGTCAGGCAATTCCAGAGTCCGAGTTCTTCACCGTACCATTCACGCTGGCTGGAGGAGGGTTTCTTGTGTTGAGGCCCTCACTGCCACCCAGGCAAGACATGATGGGGGCGTGAACTCAGTTGTGCAGGTGGAAGTAGAGGAAAAGGGGCCATGAGGATATATTTAGGAAATATATTTAGGCTAATTTGAGAAAATAAATTTAGGAAAGGCAAGATAACATTTAGGATGAGAGAGGTACGTAACATGATTCCATATTCCCACAGACAGTACTTCCTGAAGTATTTCCTGAGTTACTGTGGGGGTAGGTGGGTGGGTGGGAGGAACTGAAGGGGACAGAAGGGGGAATATGTATGTGATTTAAATATGTATTTTTGACTTGAAGTGAAAAATGCTGGAAAATTGGCATAACTACAGTAAAGAAGAGTTACTCAACTCCTCTTTACTTCCCCTTTTACTATCACTTGCAAAAAAAGATAAATTCTGTTTAGGAAACCTTGAATGTGTCTGACGTTACAAAACCTTTGGGAATGAAGAAAAGGGCTGTGGGAGTAAAAGCGAAAGTTCAGGATCTCAGAGGAGCCAAGAAACTTCGATAGATGAGAAATAGGATAAAGGAAAGAATATCACCACTGAAATCTGAGACAGAAAAGGAGATTAACAGAGTGGTACCCAATGTCATACTGGGGAACCACAAATGAAAAGCAAGCGTTTTTAGTAACCATGCTGTGAGCACTTTCTAAAACATTGTGGGCTCTACAGCTGTGCATAGGACAAACATGGACAGATGTTAACACTGTCTTATGCTCAGAGGCATGCCTCCTGCACAAGGGAGGCAGGAGATGAGCCTGAGTGGTAGGGTGATTAGAGCCAGCAGGAAAGCATGGAAAAGGATAGTTGGTGCACCTGGAAGAGAGATTTTTTCTCCGTAAAATGTTTTGCTGCTAAGGAAAAACCAGGCTATTGGCACAGCACCCTCTAGTGTCTGGCAGAGTCACTGCAGCTTTGCCTGCGTGGTAAGAGTCAACTCTGTTAGCTTGAGTAAATGTTTACACTAGTAATCGCCAATGACCCAGGGCCTACTTAGTGTATCTGACTGTTGATCTGAGCTTGAATCTTACCACCTCTTTACCCCGAAATGGGGTGTTCAGGCCTGGCCTGGCTGGAGTCAAGGGTATGAATAGTGTGCTGTGGAATTGTCTCTAAATGCCTGGGAATTTGCCTGCTAGTGACTTTAGGAGGGTAGGGGTACTGTTCCATGTTTGAAATTAAGGCTTTGGTTTCAATAATGATAGTCTTTAGTTTCAATTTAACCTGCAGTTTAAAATTTTACCCAGTATAACAGAAATATAACTTTGCACAGCAGTCCCTGATGTTGTATAATATCACATGCAGGACCAGCAACTTCTCTGAGGGAGGTTATTCTCAGGAAGATAGCTATCCTGAGGTGGCCGTTTCTAGATGGATTCCCTCCCTTCTTCCCTTCCTCCCTTCCTCTCTTCTTTCTTTCTTTCCTCCCAGATATAGCCAGTTTAAGTTATTAAGAGGTAAAAATACTGTCCCTTTCCCTGACATTAGGCTGCTTTGGATGCAGTTCCACTATTTACTTCCTTAGTGTTACTGCGGGAAGGTTGCTAAATCTTCCAGTTCCTCAGTCTCAGCATATAGAACATGGGATAATAATGCAATGTACCACTTAGGGGTTTTGTGAGAATTAAAGGAGGTGATGCCTGTAAAGCACTTAGCACACAGTACCTGGCATAAAAAGCCATTGATCAGTGTCAGCTAATCAGCATTAACGTGATCACTTTAGGCTTTGTTTCACTGGAGATGAGGAGTTCAAATTAGCACTGAGCTTCTTCAGCAGATAGGGCTGGTGATCTGAGATGAGTGAGAAGCTCAGACCCTAGGTGGAAGCACTGCTTTGGAGAGTGGTTATTTAACAAGAATGAACACCTGGGTTTGGTGCTGAGGCCTGTACCTGGTGCTGAAGAGATGGAAGGCAAGAGGTAGGTCTTTGGCATCAATGTGTTTATTATCTTGTTAGCAAAAAGCCACCGGTCACCGAGCACAGTGATAGTAATGAGCAGCTTTTGTCTAGTGATCTATGGTGGTGTTGGATGCTGCAGGGTTGCCTGTAAAAGCAGCCAGGGAAGCTTTTGGAAGGAGGCAAGCTTTGGGCAGTGCCTCCTCCCAGAGCGCTCTGCATAGGGCTCAGCTCCAACATTCTTATCACATCCAAAGGAGAGAAGACATAGTCTATCTTGGGGTTGCAGGGGACTACAGTGGAAGCAGGCTTGGAGACGGATACACCTAGGCTGACCCTGATTCATCCACTCTCTGGTGGTATGATCTTGACCAAGTTATTTAAGTTCCCAGCCTCAGGTTTCTCATCTATAAATTGTGGGTTGTGGTGAGGATAAAGCCCAGCAAGCATACTGTTTCACACGTAGCAGGTGTTGTGAACATTTTATATTCCTTCTTCCTTTTCTTGACTGCCTTCAAAGAATTAATAAAATGAACACTTGAATTTGGCCACTCAGTGGCCTTCCTTCTTGTCACCAGGACTTTCCTACACAGTTGGCAATGGGGGGAAAAAGCTTAGTAAACCAATATTACTATGACTACTACTACTTCTCTACTGCTGCTGCTGCTACTACTAGCTGTGAACGCCAGAATAGTTCAGATTGCTTTTTGAACCTGTGAGAGTGGCCAGAATGCAGGTCCTATGTGTTCCCGTGGGGCTCCTAAAACTCTACATGGAGGTTTTGGAAGAGAGGATCAGGCATCAGTCTGCTCTTCTCACACCTGTTTAGAGAGAAAAGCCCTTGTGTGCAACTACCAGAAATGCCATCATTCTTTCCCTGTAGGAGTTTGTATTCCAAACAAATCTGTATCTAAGAAAGAGTTTTTCCAAGAGGGAAGGAGGATCTAGAGACCTAGAAGCAGCCCAAAGATCCTTTCTGCCTGAGGGTGTGTGTAGCTACTGAGCAAGTCCCACCTGCGAGTGAGATGAGGCCAGAAATTAGACAGCTCTTCCTGGGCCTGTAGTTCTTACCCACCCTGGGATTGGGCCTTGGGCTTGTGGGGGCAATTGGCAGTTACCCAGGGAGGGAACCCGGCTTTAGAACTTTATCCCACCCAGTGACATGTCACTAGTGTAGTCCTCTGTATGTTGTGCATGCCTTTGTCTCGGTCAGTTGCTCTGTTATTCAGAAAAGTGTTGGAGAGCTAGGCAGGCTTTCCCTGCATGCCATGCAGTGTACCCTTCAGGCATGCACCCAGCAGCAGTACAGTCTGAGCTTGTGTTAATACCAAAAAGAAATATTTAAGTGAATTTCCATTTTAATTTTTTTTTTTTAAAAGATGACCGGTAAGGGGATCTCAACCCTTGGCTTGGTGTTGTCAGCACCACGCTCAGCCAGTGAGCAAACCGGCCATCCCTATATAGGATCCGAACCCGTGGCCTTGGTGTTATCAGCACCACACTCTACCGAGTGAGCCACGGGCCGGCCTCCATTTTAATTTTTAAAAACAGAAAATGTTTGTAAGGTGAAGTTATCATGCATGCTAAGTGACTTTTTCTATTTTGTTTCTTTTAGGAGAACTATCCTGTGCCTGAACCAGGCCCAAATGGTAGGTCCTTGGGAAACTTGACTTATATTTTATTGTTCCTTTTGTTTACCTTGGAGACATATGTGCATTGCTCCTTTACCCCCCATTTCCTACTGTTTATTACTTTTGCCTCCATTAGAAAACTATGCTTTTGTTAGGCTGAGAACCTAGACCATTATCCACAGTATGGCAGTGGTGGTGGTGGGGGTGGGTGGAGGTAGGTTTATCTTGGCTGCTACGTGAAATAAAAGAAACAGTGATAGAACCAGAAGTATTACCATATCAGACTGCTGACTTGTTCCAGAGAATTTTTGATGTAAAGTGTATGGACCAAAGGCAGAATTGTTCCTCTTTTGACCTAATAAGAGTATCCTATCCACCATAGCTGCTACTGGGGCTGCCAAGTCATGTTCTAGCTCTAACCCAAACTTTGAAAGAGAGTCTATTTTCTCCCTACCCCAACCCCGCCCCCCCTTTTTTTGACAGCTGGCCAGTACAGGGATCTGAACCCTTCACCCTAGTGTTATCAGCACCATGCTCTCCCAAGTGAGCTAACTGGCTAGCCCAGGAGTGAGTCTATATAACTTAATCTTTTTTCTTTTTTGGCAGCTGGCCAGTACAGGGATCGAACCCTGGACCTCGGTGTTATCAGCACCAGGCTGTAACCAGCTGAGCTAACCGGCCAGCCCAAGACCTTAATCTTTTAATTAGCAAGGAAGCATTGTGCCAGCCCTCCCTCATTCCCCAGGAAGGCCAGTTACCAAGAGTGGGACAGCCCAGGGCCTTCTGTCCAGTGGGAGCAGGAGGCTTGTCCCCTGCCCTAATCAACCAAGCAAAGAAAGTAGGTGAGCATGCGGGGGTAGGTCCCGCCACCTTTACTCCACTCCTCCCAGGCGTCTCACTAGATGATCCTGCAGGGCTGAGCTGACACGCTGATACCTGGGGTGGCGTCTATATCTGAGGAGGTTATGCTGCTGTGTTGGGTTGGGCAGATCTCTACTGACAGCTTTCCCGTCCCTCCCATCCCTGGAGTCCTACTTCATAATCTGCAGGACCCTGAGGTGAGGCTGGGGGTGATGGGCAAGTGTCTCTTGATAGTTAATCCTCCCCCTCCCTTACCCAGTCAACTCAGGTCCCCTTTCTGTGCCTGATGAGTTAGGAATGTCCTTCCCCACCCTGCCCCACCACACCCCAAGCTTCCTCATGAAGATCAGATTAAAGGCAGCCCTCCCGGTGGCTCCAGGGCTTTGTTACTCAGAGGTCAGTTGGGCTATTGACTTTTAAGTGATAAGAATACAGACTAGATAGATTATAACTGTCCTATCAGTGTTTAGCAAGTAATGTATATTTAGGGTTAAGCATTTTCACCAGGAAAACATGTTCGGAGAAGTGAAAGAGGCACCTCACTGTGTCCTGAAAAGTAGGTGTTGATTCTGGAGGTGGTCAAACAAGGACTATCTTGTACCCAAAGGATGCTGGTACAGCTTTTCTTCAGAAGCAGCATTCTGCTCTTACTTATCTCTTGCTGCCCTTGAATTGGAAGGGGAAAAGATAGTACATTTCAGTGAGACTTCTAGCAAGTCAAATCTAATGTCTTACTACAAATTGGCAATTTCTTCTAGCAAGTCAAATCTAATGTCTTACTACAAATTGGCAATTTCGAGAGAGGAAACTCCGAGATAGTTTTCCTAATTAAAATCAATTTTCCCTACCTTTGATCTCAGAATTCACCCTGCCATCTCTTACTCTGTTCACCAAAACCAAGGAGTGAGAAAGTTCTGCAGAGCCACACCTGGTGGCTCGCTGGTGGTTTGTGGCAAGGGCAGTGTGTGAGACATCTGAATTCATAACAGAGCTTTTGGGTCTCTTTTTTTTTTTGGTGACTGGTCGGTGAGGAGATCTGAACCCTTGATGCTCTAATCAAGTGAGCTAACTGGCCAGCCTGTGTCTCTGTCTTTCTAAGGCAGACTTTTTTCTCAGGGAGATATTTGTAATGTGATCATCTCAGTCAGACTAGGCCAGTAATCCTTTAGTACTTATCTCAGCAAAGGAGCTCAGTAACATCATTATTTTAAACTTGGAAGACTGACAACAATACCACCAAATCTTACTTTATTCAAATGCTTGAAGGGGAAATGCCAGTTGAAATCTTCAGATGGTTTAAATGAAGCTGCACCTTTAAAAAGAACAACAGGCCTGAAGAACTCAGCCTGATAGTTCACAAAGTGTTGCCAAGCTGAGATTCTGCCAGACTCATTCTTATGAATAGATAAAGATCAGGCATAGCGTATTAGTCTGGAAACAATTATCTCCTGGAAAATAGTTTGTTCTCTTAAGTGGTGGTACATTTTCTCCTACTAATAATACCTTGTTTATGCAGTGTATTGGTCAGGGTTCTCCAGAAAAACAGAACAAATAGGATGTGTGTGTGTGGAGAGAGAGAGATTGATTTATTTTAAGGAATTGGCTCATGTAATTGTGGGGCGGGCCTGCAGTCTGGAAATTCAGGTAAGAGCTAATGTGGTGTTGAGTCCCAAATCTGCAGGCCAGGGAGACTGAAAACTCAGAGTTTCTGTGTTGCAATCTTGAGGAGATTTGCAATCTCCTTTAGGAAACCTTTGCTTCTAAGACCTTCAAACTGATTGGGTGAGGCCCACCCACTTTATGGAGGGTAATCTGCTTTACTCAAAGTCTATTGATTTAAATGTTAATCACATCTAAAAAATACCTTTACAGAAACATCTAAACTGGTGTTTTGACCGAACAACTGGACACCATAGCCTAGCTAAGTTGACACACAAAATTAGCCATTACATGCAGTTAATTTGCTCTGTGGAAGCTTTTTTGCCTTGTGAGACTTAATCACAGTTGCTGTTTAGCTTGTTTTCTGTGGTTTAAATTTTGTGCCTGACCTTGGAAACCCAGCCTTTTCCCCTGTCCAGCAGGAAATCACTGGGCACGTCAGTGATAGAGGAGTTGTCCTCTTCCTCATTGGTTTTCTCCTTCTCCTTTCTGTTATCAGAGGTGCTGCTGAAAATGCATTCTGTTGGAATCTGCGGCTCAGATGTCCACTACTGGCAGCATGGTCGAATTGCTGATTTTGTTGTGAAAAAGCCAATGGTGCTGGGGCATGAAGCTTCGGGAACAGTCGTAAAAGTGGGATCACTGGTAAAGCACCTAAAACCAGGTCAGCAAAGTCCTTCAGCTAACTGATTTATATACTCATTCAACATAAATATTTGTGCATGCTTTCTCTGGGCCAGCCCCTTTGTTAAGCACTGGGGCACAGCAGTGAACAGACAGTCTTAATCCCTGCATGCATGGATCTTACCTTCTATAAGGGAAGACAGGCCTGAGACAGACAGTTGCTTAGTCACAATGTGATATGGGCCGCAGAGAAGAATGCAGATTGTGATTGGTGTGTTTTACCTCTAGCTCATTTGAGAAAGGGACAAGTAATCCAATACCTAAAGGCAAGTAAGAAATAAGCCAGGTAAAGTGATAGAGAAAATATTTCAGACACAGGAACCACAAAGTGCCTCCATATGCTGAAAGCCAGGGCTTTGGAATCAGTCTTTAACTTTTATTGGATAATGGGAAACCTCCAATATTTTTTCTAGATTTGCTTAATTCATGCTCCTAGAGTGAGGAATTCTCAGTTGTGGCACACTATGTTGTTTCCCACACAGTGAGTTAAATCCAAGCTGTCTTGGCAAAGTCAGCTGTTGGCTTTAACCTTACCTTGCTAATAAGGCCACTGCACAGCTTGCAGATGATGTCAGATTATTTGGGGGAAGGTGGAGGTTATCAGGAGGTGCCATCCTGGGTTAGTTATAAGGCTCTCTAGGCCCAGCCACACGGAGAGGGACTGACCAACTCTGAAGAAGTTAGGTCTTGATTGGGAATGTTGTCAGGACCTCCATTCATCATTGGTGGAAGCTGAGAGAGCTCCTGTGCTGTTGCAGGGTTATACTGAAGTGGAAGGTTCATAGTTCCCAATAGCCACTGATGATTGGTTCCTACCTGTGGGACGAGGTCTCTAAATATGAGTTATAACAAGGAGTGGGGTTCTCTAAATGTAAGTTATAACACGTGCTTAGTTAGTATCTACAATGGGTCCAGTCTTGTGCCAGGTGCTTTGAGATTATATATATATATATATATATATATATATATATAAGATGTGGTTCTTGGATGCTTAGATCTAGTTGGGGAGACCAGACATCAGGACCTACATCAATACCAATAATTAGAGACAAGGCTGTAGTGTGCAATCAGGTGTGGGAAAGAATAGGCTCTAGGAGTTCAAAGAAAGGGCATTTGTTACGGGCAGAGGTGGTTAAAGAAGATTTATGGAGACAGGTCTGTGAGTTGGACATTTAATGGTAATGATGATAAGAAGTGGCTAGTTTTTATTGATTTGCTATTTGTTAGTCTTCAAGTTAAACACTTACATATAATTCTTTATTTCATTCTTGAGACAACTCTGTGAGACAGGCATTATTTTCCTCATTAACAGATGAAGAAATTGCAGCTTGGTTATTGCCCAGGGTCACAACGCTAGTTAGTCACAGAGCTGGGATGCACCCCCCTGCCCCGGTCTTTCTGACTCTCGAGCAAGTGCTCAGAACCATTTGGTTGCCCAACATCTTGAGACTTGAGAAGGATTTTGAGTTAGATAAGAGGTCAGAAGCTAATATTCCAGTTACCAGGAACAGAATAATGAAATTACAGAGGCAGGAGTAACATATCTGGGTTGCTAATAAGTCTACACTACTTGGAGCAGAGGTTCTTTGTTAAGGAATTAGTGGAGATGATAAAAATGCATAATATGTATTAAAGTCCCTCTTTAAAAAGCACTGTACAACTGTGAATTGTTTTATTATTATGATGTAATAATATAGAAGGTACAACTGAATAATATAAAACTTTACCTGATTATGGAGGATTCTGAATGCTGGGTTGAAGACTTCATCCTATTAAATTATGGCAGAGGCATAATTTGCAGAAAGTTCATTGAACGGTGGAGAAAGTTGAGTCAGAGGAAATAGAAGGAAGAGACATGTACAGGGACACGAACACATTTTAGTGGTCAGAGAGATTTCTGTGGGTACTTTTTCTTTTAGGATATGAAATTTTAATTTAAAGTGTTTCATATGATAACTTTTAATTTAAAATTCTATTTAACTAATTTGGAAAGAAGAAAACTACTCATTGGGTATTTGTTAAGGCAAGGAAGTATTTTTAATTTATATACAATCTGGCAATCTATCTTAAATTTTGAACTTCTTCTACAATAATACCCACTCAGGTAATTATTATAACAATGACAAACACAATAAAAAGAAGTACTACTTTTTTATATTACTACTACTACTATCACCATCACTACTACTACTTTTAATAAGTGCTAACTGTGTACCAGGACTCTGCACTATTCTGTGGGTACTTTTATTTCTTTTTAATTTTTTTTGGCAGCTGGCTGGTGAGGGAATCTGAACCCTTGACCTTGGTGTTATCACCACCACTCTCTAACCAAGTGAGCTAATGAGCCAGCCCTCTGTAGATTCCTTAAACACAAAATGACTTATAAAAAAAATAGCTTAACTCCACCACTACCGAGAAGAGCAGACAGTCAGACCTCCACAGCTGTGGAGTATGCACAAAGCAAATGTATTTTACAGGGCCTGGTTTTCCAAAGCCTTGCAGTTTCAAATATTGACCTTGCAAAGGACAGGAAAATTTCCCCATGCTATATAGTCTCTGTTGTAAGATAAAGAATTGTAACATAGCAAGGTTGCTGGCTCAAAGACAGACAGGTTACTGATTGATATGTAAAGATATTGGGAAATTGCTGTAAGAAGAGAATGTTTGCTAAAATCAAGCTTTTGTTGCAAGTTGCATTATGGAATGTGACCTTGCCTGTCTTACTGAATGTTACCAGCTTCTATTGTTAAACTTGTTAAACTGTACTTAGCAAAAACCCCACCTATGTTCTCTTCCTGTAACTTCCTGGTCTGGAGAATAAATGCAGGAAGAGAACCCCAATTCATGGTTAATTTCCCAAATGGAAGGAATGCCTCTATCTTGAGGGTTTCTGGAGATTAACCCCTTTTTGGGGCTTCTCACTGCTCAGAAGAGATGGGCTTTGAGTAATCTTTGGCGGCTCCCTCACCCAGGGGAAAAGGGGTGACAAATCAGTGGGAGGCAAAGCAACACACAGCTTATAACTCTGTGACCACCTGAGCTTCTGCTTCCTCATCTCTAAAGCAGGACAATGCCACCTTGTTGTTTTGTGGTGTATATTTGGAAATTTTCATAAGAAAAAAGTAGGGGAAAAAACCAGTTAGAGAGCAATCCTCAGGCTGGGTTTCCAATCAGGTAGTGAAACATAGATTAGAAGTACGATTGAGCCAGCCATTCACAATCCTTGAATGTTACTCTGCTGTACCAGTCTGAGGCCTCCACATGTCATCAGCCTTGGCAGTTTTGCTAACCAGGAATTGGTTGACTCCTAGTTATTGTCTAAACACAACCAGTCTGAACATAAAACATGCCATAATTATAGCTCTTGTCTTTAAAAGGTCTGGTCCCATATTTTCAAAACAAGTGAAGAAAAAAATGTCTGCAGGCTCCATGCACTAGCTACCTCTTTTGCAGCATCTCAGGATGGGAACTGGAGTTGGCTTGACTTAGAGATGAGACTGGTTCTGTGCTTCCCAAGCTGGGGAGGGGCTGTGGAGCTGGAGAGCTGGTTGGCTGGTTGCAGGAGCTGGAAAAAGGCCAGGCCAGACTTGTCTGTGGAGAAGTGGGCTGGTCCTTTTCTTCCAGAGTGTGAGTCTGTGCTGCATCCATGTTTCCTTCGGAAGCACTAATGACTGGGCTTGCCTTGGGTACCCTGCATCCCCAGGGAGGAGGGTGGACCATTAGGCTGGATTCTCCCATCTGGCATCAGTGCATGAGCATGCAGGCCTTCGTAGCATCCTGCCTCTGCTCTTGATTTCAAAGTTTGGATAACAGAACCAGGCCAAGGACAGGCAGCCTCTACTTCCACTCTTGGACAAGACACCATCTTTGTTTTCCTCTTCAGGTGATCGCGTTGCCATTGAGCCTGGTGCTCCCCGAGAAACTGATGAATTCTGCAAGATTGGCCGATACAACCTGTCGCCGTCCATCTTCTTCTGTGCCACACCCCCCGACGATGGGAATCTCTGTCGGTTCTATAAGCACAATGCAAATTTCTGCTACAAGTTAGTGTCCAGGGCCCAGCCTGTTACCTGGGATCTCTTTCTTTCCATTTGGTGATCTTTCTTCTAGTTTTCTGTGGTGATTTCTTTATTCTTTTCAGTTCATAATTCCAAACACAAGTCATCCCCTGGCAGGCCTGCCCTTGGTGGCATTGAGGGAGGGTAACCTCACCAGGGCTGAGACTGACTCACAGTGGTTCATTTTAGATTTTCAGTTTAACTTTTCCTCACTGAGAGCAATGGTAGGAAATTGTTGCTGAAATCACTCATCCTCTCCAGCCATCCTGGAGAGAACTTACCGTGGTTTATCCTTCATTATTAGTTTCCACTGCAGCTACCTGAGAGGGAACCTATAACAGCAATGACCTGGACAATAACAACAACTGACATTGACTGAGGAGGCAGGGAGTGGTGCCAGGGCGTGAGCTTTGGGATACCGATCCGCTCCCTCCTAGCGAGTGACTTTGAGGAAATAATTTCACCTTCCTCTGCTTCAGTAAATGTACTCACCAGAATATTAAATAAGGCAATGCATATAAAGTCATCATTGCTGTTACTGCATGCCTGCTCTTGTGCTAATAAGTGCCTTGCATGCCTTATCTTATTTAACCTTCACAAGAATAATGGTGAGGTGGGTTTCATGATTGCAGTTTTATGCAAGGGTTAACTGAGGCAGGAGGCTGATTGACTTGAGCACAGAGCAGAGCCGGGAGTCCAACCGGGGTCTCCAGGATTCTCAAGTTCCTGCCCTGTGCCTACTGTCTTACCCCAACTCCTGCCTGAAATGATTTTGGGGTAAGAAGTTATGTCTGGCAGAAGCGTGCTGCACCTTCTACATGGGCCCCACCATGGAGCTCTGGGGTGCTGATGTGCTGCTCTTCCTCTTACCCAACCCGGGTGTGTTTTCTTCCCACTCCAGCCTGACCCCGGGGGTGGCTGTCAGCCAGGATGGGGCTTGTCCAATGGAGGCCAGGTGCCAGTTACAGGAGCAGTCTGACAGATCCAAGTTTTTCTAGTGCTCATTGGAAGCCTTGAGAGGAGTCACAAACCAGAGGCCTTGTGATGAATTTAAAGCAACACCTGAACCTGCTCTAGAAGAAAGCAGGTTATGTGGGCAGAGTCCGCCTTTCAAGTAGTTTCTGAATCAGCCCATCTTTCTCTGGATCTTTTCCAAGTCAAGGCACCAAACAACATTTTCATGGAAGACAGAAGAGAATAGTAATAAAGCTCAGATTAACCACTGGTCTCTGCCATTTACCAACTGTGTGATCTCAACAAGTTAAGTTTTGTAACCTCAATACCTTACCTGCAAAATGGAGGTAATAATAGCACCTTCCTCTCAGAATTATTGATGAGATTCAATGAGAAAGGCATATCAAGTACCAGCACGAGGTCTAGCACATAGTAGGTGCTCAATAAATGGTACCACAACATGTCACAGCCATGGTCATGTGGTCTGGAGGGTGGAGGTACAGGATTAGGCCTGAAAGGGAGCCTTGGGCTGGGGATGGGGTGGTGGTAGTTTGTAGGGAATGGTGGGGGAGAGGATTGTCTGGTTGGCATTGGCAATGGGAGGGCTGAGGAGGGTCTCTGGGGCGTGTAAACCCTGTCTCTCTTCTCCTCCCTGTGTACTTCCTGCCTGTGTCGCCAGCCCAGCCCTGGACCCAAGTGCTCCTCTCTGATTTCTCTTTGTGAGGTTTCCTATACTACCACATCCTCTTTATTTTCCTACCCTCCTATTTTCTATCTGTCTGTTTCCCCTTTGGTTTCTTGATCATCCTTTACCCCTTTTTGCCTGTTCCCTGAACCTATTGTAAAAACCAAGTTGCCTTGTCATTCTCTGGTGTTTATAAAGTCCTGAAAGTTCAGGACTGAGAAGAAACTTAGAGTCTTCTCATCCCTGGTCCCTGTCAACCCCAACTGGACAATGTTGGGGAGGGAGGACCCAGTGACTCTCCCAAGGTCTGTGGCAGAGGGTCTGGGTCCCATGACTCCTCGTCCACGTGTCTGCCTCCATGCCAGGCGGCTTGCCCACGGGGCTGGCTGTGCTGAGTTCGGGTTTGATGAGGCAGCATCTGCTTCATGGGTAGGGTACTCTCCTGGATGACAATCCTCTCTTATCACCTTCCTCAATCCCAACTCTCCTTGGTGCAGTTCCCACCAAAACCTACCCTCAGCCCAGAGCCTTTATGAGCTCGGTGGGAGGCGCAGATGTGAAGGGGCAGGCCTGTCTGACAGCGTGTGTATGGGGGTCCTTGAGAGGGTTTGGGGATATTCATCATTTTATTTTAAACTTCTTGGACATGAGGAGAGACAGTGAAAATAAGCGAACACAGAGTCATGGTCTGAGTCAAAGTGGGATTTCAACTTTCATTAGAGAGGGTCAGAGAGAGCCGGAGCCCAGAAGGCAGGTGTGTCAGAACAGTTAGCAAGAGGGAGAGAGATCAGGAACGAATGGAGATGACAAGAGAGACAGAGACAAAGCGGGAGATGGAGAATGGATCCACAGAGACAAGAAGTGCAGACATCGAGACTCAAGGGACAGACAGGAGAGGCAAGAAGAGGAAAAGGGACAGAAATTAGAGATAGACATCCAACTGTCCTAGTGCAAAGAGAAAAAGCTTTCCCAACTGTTCAAGCAAAAGTCCAGGGAGGTCCCTATTGCCTTGGTTTGTTTGTACCTTTCAATCATCAATATGGCTAGGGAGATGGGGGTTTCTGATAGGTAAAGACTGACTCATCTGCCTAACCTGTGTTGGTGAAGAAAGTATTTCCCACAAGAAGAACTGTTCACCTAGCAGAAGGAAGGTGAAAATGTAATGGGAAGCCAGTATTTTTTATCTTGCTTAGAAGATAAAGGGTATACATGTGAAGGTAAATATTTAAAATTGGAATTGTGAGCAAATATAGAAGGATGTATCTTCATCAGCATTTGATATGAGCCAACAAAAAGTGCAACCAATTGTTTCAGCAGAGTACCACTCTGTACACTTAATTAGGAGACTCTTATTCCAGTAAATTTTGCATACAATCAAACCTCATTTATTTCCCCTGAAGTTAATTGAAACAAATCAATATCATCATTAAAGCATCATATTGAAACAAATGTATATCATCATTATGCAAACAAATGTATATCATAATTATGCACATTATTGATTAAATTTTCTAAAGCCGCTTTTATACCTTAAAGCTGAATACAAAGATGACTCTGACTACAATGAAAATAAAATCCTTTAAAAGCAAAAAAAAAAAAAAAAGAAAGAAATTAGAGACACAGTAAGATGGACTGACAGTTTCTAAAGATTTGGAGAAAGATGACAATCCTCAAGACAGCAAGAGAGACAGGAAGAGTCAGAGGGAGACCTATTAGAGAAACTTATCTAAAATTTGACAGTAAGACAAAAAGATAACGGGAGCTCTCTCCGAGTTCCCTAGCATTATCTACCAAGCTTGCTTCGGGTCGTCTGACTCCCTACGCAAATCAACTCTTTTTGACTTGACTACTTCTTGTTCTGCGTTTGCTTGTTTGTTTGGCAGCTGGCCAGTACAGGGATTGAACCTTGGACCCTGGTGTTATCAGTGCCACACTCTAACCAACTGAGCTAACTGGCCAACCCCCTGACTTGACTACTTTTGATCAGAGTCCAGATGGTGTGCAGTTAAATGCTAACTGGTAGAAGGTTGATAGGTTGTAGATACTTTCTGTCTAGTGTATCGCCCCGTAGGTCACTAAGCAGTTTTGTATTCGACTTTGCTCTTTTATTTGTGTTCATTCTTTCTTTAACTCTCTCTATAGTTCTTTCTTTCCCATCTTTCTGTAACATCTGTCATCTTTCTGGTCCCCACAGTGAGGTAAATAAATCTTTGACACGTGAAAAAAAAAACAAAACTTTTTGCCTCATATAGAATTGATGCTGGTAGGGTGAGTAGGAGGGGTGTGGACAGTGGTCAGAGCAAGAGAGTGGATTGGAGTCGGGGGGGGCGATGGGAGAGAAGCAGAGGCAGGAGAGAAGAGGGTGGGTGGGTGGCAGCTGGGTTGACCCCAGGCCTCATGATTGACTTTCTCTGGGACTGTCAACAGTGACAGGAGGACCGTGGGAATGAGCACGTGGTCTGGCTGCCACCTTTATTTCTTTTTGTAATTTGAGGGTTTTCATGTTCCTGCATGTGAAGGTTTGGGGCACTGGGTAAATACTGGACAATGAAGAACTAGCAGAAATTGGATATTAGCTACAGAGCTGCTTGCACCAAGAGGGAGCTGAAGTGGGACAGGCAGGGGAGGTGGAATCAGGAGAACTGGGTTCATGTCTTGCTTTCCCACTCACTAGCCTCATAACTTTGGGTAAGGCTCTTAATGTCATGGAGCTCCAGTTTTCTCTTGTAAAATAAAGGTAAAAATATAGCCTTCCTGTCCTGCATGACGGGGTTATAGTGAGGATTGAATAAGATAATGGAGAACTCTCTAATCTGTAAAGGCTTATGCAAATGTTTGCTGTTATCATTGGTGGGATTGGCGATAGGACTGAGATGCCAGTGGAAGTGAAAACAAGAACCCAGTGGTGAAGGTAACACGGCATTTAATCAGCTAAGTGGAACAGGCCTTTTTGCCATCATAAGTAGTCTTGGGATGGCCAAGCAGCTGCTGTCCTCAGCTGTGGCTCTACTGGAACGTGCAATATGGGGGACGATGAGCAGAGTGATTCCTACTGCTGAAATGCTGTTTTGCAACGTTGCTGATAGTTGGGACGGTTTGCTAAAGTGGGACCAGAAAGGCTGGGCGTTTGAGAAACAAATAAGAGACTGGAATATGGCTATGTTAGCCTCTTGTTAAATGAACTGTTCACTTATTAATGACAACCACACCATACATACCATGTGGAAGAAAACATAATGTGTTCACATTTACTGAAGTGATTTCTCCAAAGAAAACCATTTTCAGAGGGGGGCGGTGTGGCATTGGTTCTGGAATTAGACATATCTGGCTTCTAATTCAAATCCTTTGAGCCCCTCATTAGCTTTGAACCTTTGGGGCAAGTTATTTAACCCTCCAAGCCTCAGTTTCTTCATCTGTAAAATGGAAATAATAGTACCTACCACAGAACTGTTCTGAGGATTTACGTGAGCAAATGTATGTAAATTGCTTAGCACATTGCCCTGTATATAAATAAATGTTCAATAAATCGTAGCTATTGTTATTATTGTTAACAGAGGATCTAACTGTGCGTGTTGAATGACTCCTCAGGCTTCCTGACAGTGTCACCTTTGAGGAAGGAGCCCTGATTGAGCCACTCTCTGTGGGGATCCATGCCTGCCAGCGAGGTGGGGTCACTCTGGGAAACAGGGTCCTTGTGTGTGGAGCTGGTAAGAAACACATGACATCCTGGTTATTGGTTCATTGACTGGGAATGTGGGGACCCCTCTGCACATCTCATTCCCCCTCCAAAGGCTGGGATTGGTTCTAGAATCTTTCTGTGTAGGGGAGGACTACAGTATCCCATTCCCTCAGTGACCAACACTTTGCTAAATACACAAATATCTGCAGACTCAATAGTAATTCATATTACATTTCCAGGCAATATAGCATTTTTGCTCATTTGAAGAATGAATCTCATGATTATTTTCAAACCCTTGACAGGAAACTAGGGAAATATCTTTGGTAGTAAGGGGAAGGGCAACTTTTGGAACTTTTGAATCAGAGATGTGATGGCCTCGTTCCATCTATGAGCAAGATAGACCCTGCTCCCAGCCAGTGGAGGAGTGGCATCCAGGCCACCATGAGCAAGCTCTGCCTGCAGAAGGGTCACAGCTAGCTGCCTTCCACCATCCCCTTCTTCTAGCCACCCAGAACAAACCCTAGCAACCTCAGACTGAATCTTTCTAGGCTTCTAACTGCCGGTGACCCAAATAGCATGCTCGTACTCCTTGTGGTGTGTTCCTTCTGCTCACTTGTGAGTGGTTTTCTTAGGCAAAATAAGTGACCGCCGGGCTCCTTAAGAGGGGTGATGGGTGTAGAACAGATTTGCTTCAATGAGCCAGCAGACTGCAGGACTCAGGTGACGGATTCTTTAAAAAAATCTGCATAGGTGGTATCTTTTTGCTACAGGAAATGAAAAGTCATACATACCACACATATTCGTGCACACACACAGAAATTCACCCATAGCTCCATCACCTATCAGTATGAGAGAACTACTATTAATCTTTTCGTGTAGAATCTTTTAGTTTTTTTGTTTTTAATGAGACCATGCTAAATATGCTTCCTTTTACGTATTCTTTATTTTTTTATTTATTTTTTTAAAAAGATGACCGGTAAGGGGATCTTAACCCTCGACTTGGTGTTGTCAGCACCACGCTCACCCAGTGAGCGAACCGGCCATCCCTATATGGGATCCGAACCCGTGGCCTTGGTGTTATCAACACCGCACTCTACCGAGTGAGCCACAGGCCGGCCCTACATATTCTTTAAAAAAATTAGTATACCATGAACGTTTTTCCATGTCAAAATTTTTTTTTTTTTTTTGTTTTTGGGTGGCTGGCCAGTACAGGGTCAGTGTAATTTTTATTTTTTTAATGATTTTTTTTTCTTTTTTAAATGTCTGGCTGGTATGGGGATTCGAACTCTTGACCTTGCTGTTGTAACACCATGCTCTCACCAACTGAGCTAACCGGCCAGCTCAGTTGGCATAATTTTTAATTGCTATGTAGTATCCCACTGTAGTTTATTTGACTAATCACATTTGCTGGACATTTCAGGTATTATTTTCTAGTGTTTTGCTTTCTGGGGGAACTCACAAAATTGTTTTTGAGGAGTGTGTATCAAAAGCAAATCCCCACAAATATTCTGCATTGCCTTAGTTGGTGGGTCCGTTTTTTATGTTAAAAGCATAGTGTCATCCAGCATGCAGATATGGTAGGGAAGCAGGTGGTTTGAGTATGCTGGAGCTGCCTGAGCTGCTAATGGCTCAACCCAAAGAGCCAGCTCACTTAAGGACAGCTGCCAGGGTGATCTTCAGAGGATACCTAAAAAGGATATGTCTCTCCTGGGGGAGGTGTGATGGGTTCTCATGAAGGTGGGGTCCAAAGAGAGAACAGGAAAACATACCCCAACCTTCTGATACTTCCTACTCTCTGAGCAAGTATGTGTTTCCTTGAATCCTCTGGTTTTTTGAGATCATCTCCAATCAGGGACCAAGAGTAAGTAGAAAATATCTAGCTCTGAGGGCTGGCTGGATTGGTTAGAGTGTGGTGCTGACCCATCAGGGTCAAGGGTTCAGATCCCTGTACCAGCCAGCTGCCAAAAAATGAAAAAGAAAATTTCTAGCTCTGTATTATGAGAGGATCAACTAGAACCTAGCACCAGGAGCATATTTCATGTAGAGAATAATTCTCATGCATTTGACAAATTGTTGTTAAAGTCTTAGTATGTTGCCAAGCACTGGGATAGGTGCTAGAGATACACAGAAGATATGGTTACTGCCCATGGCCTGGACAAGGGGGAGAGCTGCTGATGTTTACAATTTTACGAATGTCTCCCATTTTCTGCTTTGTTTAGGGCCAATTGGGCTGGTCAGTTTGCTTGTGGCCAAGGCAATGGGAGCCTCTCAAGTAGTGGTGACTGGTAAGATTTTCATTTTAAATCTCCTTGAGGGAAAGCAGCTGGGCGTACAGTTTGGAGCAGGGCATGGGATTCATTTCCTTCGTAGGTACTGGGTTTCTTTTTTTTTTTTTTTGTCTTTTTGTCTTTTTTCCGTGTCCGGCAACGGATCGCAACCCTCAGTGTTGCCCCCGTACCGGACCGGGGACCGGCAACGGGATCGCAAGCCTCGGCGTTGCTCCCGCGCCTCGCTCAGCCAGTGAGCGGGAGCCGGTCTGTATGTGGGATCCGAACCCTCGGACGGGAGCGCCACCGCGCTTCCCAAGCGGCGCACTATCCAGTGCGCCACCGGGCCGGCCCCGGTACTGGGTTTCTAAAGAGGCTCCTCCTTCTCCTGGGACCCAGGGTTGAAAAGTCCATTCAGGGGATGACTAACTCAGAACAGGATGAGGCTCTTTTGTCAAGGGAGGGGGTGGCTTTTTATGTGTGGTCCTCAGGTACCCCTACTGCCCCCTTGATCCTAACAGGAGGCTCAGCCCTTGGTCTATTATGACCAAGCTTAGAAGGCAAAGAGGGTCTGTTTGTGCATGTGATGTGGGGTTGGTGGTGTGTGTGGTATGCATATAAGGGGTGTCTGTGAAGTGTTATGTGATATGGGTGGGAGCTGTGAGAGGAATGTGAGTTTGCATGTGTGAGGAGAGGTTATCTGTGAGTGTGTATGTGGGTGTGTGTGTGCAGTTGTGTGGTGTTTCTGGGGTGTGTGGAGATGTGGAAGGGTGTGAGTGTGTATTTTGTGTGAGGAGAAGTTATCTGTGAGTGTATGTCGAGCTGTGTGGTGTGTACGGCACCATGTGAGGGTGTAGAGTATGTGTGTTGAGCTCAGCAACACCACATTTCACCAGAGCTTTGTTGCCACCACCAAATCTTGCACCTCCATTTTATCTCCCTCCTAATCAGTCATCCCGTGCTCAGTGTGAAAGAAACTTTTGTTCACCTTTAGATCTGTCTGCCTCTCGGTTGTCCAAAGCCAAGGAAGTTGGGGCTGATTTCGTCCTCCAGATCTCCAAGGAGAGCCCTCAGGAAATTGCCAGTAAAGTGGAAGGTCTGCTGGGGTGCAAGCCTGAAGTCACCATTGAGTGCACGGGGGCAGAGGCTGCCATCCATGCTGGCATCTACGTGAGTAGGAGGAGGGCAGCTGGAGCTGATGGGCAGCTTGGGGAGTTAGTGCAGGGGAGTGAACGGAGCAGAAGTAAGGAGTCCCGTGATAGAGCTTCTCCACTTATTTGCTGTGAGACCCTGAGCAGACTTGGTTAATCTCTTGGAATCCCTGTTTTTAATTACACTTGCCTATATCCTCATCTGGAGGTTCATGCAAGGTAACAGATATAGTTGGACCTTGAAAAATGTTAAGTGGCTCACTCCTTTAGGATGAAGTTGCTTTCACGCTCATATCTGTGATCATGAAAGTATAGTGCTTTTGTGGGCCGGCCCATAGCTCACTCGGGAGAGTGTTGCTGATAACACCAAGGCCAAGGGTTCAGATCCCATATAGGAATGGCCGGTTAGCTCACTGGGTGAGCATGGTGCTGACAACATCAAGTCAAGGGTTAAGATACCCTTACCAGTCATCTTTTTTTTTTTAAAAAAAGTGTAGTGCTTTTGTAAAAAGATCTAGAGAGGAATAGAGAACCATGCCTTAGTTGAGTGTGGGAAATCCCTGTCTTGTTTCATTGAGGAGAACTGCAGTCTTTGAGTCACTGACACAGTGTGACAGCCTTCAATTCAGTTAGTTGCAAAGGTGAGGTGATTTTTCAGGGTTGCAGTTGGCTACTGCTGTGCTCTCCCCTAGAACCAGGAGCAGCTAAGGGCCAGTGCCTGATTCGCCCCCCAGCGACCCACTCACCATTTATGGGAAGTTGGCAGGGAGTTGGGGGTGAGGAGAGGAAGTGGCATTGACAGATCAAAGTATAAGGAAGAAGGGAGAAAGAATCTCTTTTAGGTTCTGAGCCCTGTGGTATGCCAGGTCCTCTGCTGGGTACTTAAAAACATGATGCCTAATCTGCACAATAGCGTAAAGTTCAGTTATCACTTAATGCTGAGAGTCATGGTGACTTGCCTCAGGCTCAGGTCTCAGGTGAGTGCCTGACTGCAATGTCTGAGCTTTCCCTACTCTGTCCTACTGCTTAGCAGAGGTGGGGAAGGAGGGAACTAGCAACTGTACTTATGAGGAGGGGCTGGGCAGCCGGCAGCTGTATCCACAGGGAACTCCTGTCCCCTCCTCCGAGACCGCCTTCCACAGCAGCACTGGCTTCCTCCTTCCTTCTGAGTCACAGCTGGTTCATACACAAGGGCACTTTGCAGCACGTGAGACGTTCTGGGGAAAGCTGATCCCTTTGGCTGTGGGGCACGCCCTTGGGCCTGGCACCCTGACAGGGCTGCCTAGCCCTCCCACCAAGATGCCTAGTGGCACTGGGGGCTGAGGAAGCAGTGGGAGGGAGGAGCAACTGCCACCTTTGCCCTGTCCTGAGTTTCAGCTGGAGTTGGCCAGTTCTCTGCTTTACTGTCACAGATAGTAGTTACCATGTGGGAAGGGGTGAAGAGTAAACAAAGCTCAGAGAGACGATGGGTCTGTGTGTGATCGACCTACCCACAGTATGTCCTGGGCATCTGCTGTGTGCCAGGCTTTGTGCTGGGCACTTTGAGGGCCATGATAATGAGTAAGGTGTGTCCACTGTCTTCAGGTTTTGCCAGGTCAGTGAACCCCATCCCACAGAGAAGCAATGTAGGCTGTGGGACTTAAAGGCCCTGGCTTTCCTTCCTTTTCTGCCCTGCCCTGAGAGCATTTGGGAACAGTTGACGTCTCCAGCTATTGATGGTGGGGCCTGATAGCCAGCTACCTGAGGTAGGCATGGAGGAGAATGTGACCCAAGGGCCTTGCTAGGCCTGAAGCAGTGTCTCTCCTGATGTGGGGAGTGGAGCCATCATGCATGACAGGTGCTGTAGAATGCTACAGGCCTCTCTGCCAATGGGCAGTTTAGGCAGCAGCACCAAATATGGACATATCTGAGCATCACCTTCCTGCCAGGTCATGACTACATAGTGTTTGTGAGGAGACTTGGCAGATGCCTTGGGGTAGAACCGATGTCATCTCCTTGGTGCAGAGGTCACACCCTCAGGACAGTGGTCAGGAGGTCCAAGATTTCCTTGACCTGTGTTCAGCAAACTGGCAGCTTGGGATGGCTAGGTGGTAATGTTCTTCCTCATCACCAGGAGAGAGGAAATGCTGATGGGGTAACAGTTTTCCTAGAAAACTGGCTGAGAGGGTAAGTCCAGGGTCCCACAGCTCAAAAGCGGCAGTGCTGGAGTCACCCCCACATTGCTCAGACCCCCTCATTCTGCCTCTTGCTCATGGCACTGCAGGCCTGTCTCTGTGGTGTATCCTTCACCTCCAAGACAGAGTCTGTGACATGTGCCTTTTTGCAGCTCCACTGTTCAGCACTTGGAATGGTCCCGATAAGTGCTTACTGCTACTGCTGCAGACTATAATGAAAACGTAGTGTGAGTGAATTGCCTATTTTTCTGTCTCTCACAACATTGAGCACAGTGATCCCTAGAAAGTTCTGGAGCAGGCACAACACTCACATGGAGTTATATAGAGATTTCCAGCAGAAAACCTGCCACGTCTGATCCACTCGACGGAGGGAACTGATAATGCAGATAAATACTCAAGGAAGACAAAATCCATATGGCAGATATCGTTAGGATGCACGTCTCTGGGACAAAAATGTTTCTGACTGCCAGCCTGCACGTATAAAGCTGTTTTTTTTTTCCTTTTTGTCTTTTTTCGTGACCGGCAACGGATCGCAACCCTCAGTGTCGCGCCCGTACCGGACCGGGACCAGCAACGGGATCGCAACCCTCGGTGTTGCACCCACACCTTGCTCAGCCAGTGAGCGGCCGGTCTGTATGTGGGATCCGAACCCTCGGCGGGAGCGTCGCCGCGCTCCCAAGCGGCGCACTGTAGTAGTGCACCACCAGGCCGGCCCTAAAGCTGTTTTTTTTTAAAAGATGACCGGTAAGGGGATCTTAACCCTTGACTTGGTGTTGTCAGCACCACGCTCAACCAGTGAGCTAACTGGCCATCCCTATATGGGATCCGAACCCGCGGCCTTGGTGTAATCAGCACCGCACTCTACTGAGTGAGCCACGGGCCGGCCCCCTAAAGCTGTTTTTTAAAAAAAGTTATTTTTTATTTTGGGCAGCTGGCTGGTACAGAGTTCTGATCCGTTGACACCGCGCTCTAACCAGCTGAGCTAACCGGCCAGCCTAAAGCCATTTTTAAACCACAGAATTTCAGTAGCTCTCTCCATTTGTGAAGTGCTTGATAGTTTTCTCACCAGCAGTGAGCTAGAAGGGGGTTTCCTTAGAGGTCTGATGAAAATCCTGCCTGTGGAGGGGTGCTCTGGAGGAGGACCTGGTGCTGAGACGTGTAGGGGCTGAAGCCAATAACTGATGCTTAATTTGTAGAGCGTTGGAAGATGATGCTTCTGTGCTTCATTCTCCATTGGTCAAGTGGATCTCTAAAGAAAATAATGGATTCAGGATCTCTAAAGAAAATAATGTTTACTGTGCTGCACTATTGAATTTGGTTTGTTCAGACTGTTGAAGAGTTCAGCAGTATGGCAAGTTTTAGGTTCTGAACCCTGTGGTATGCCAGGTCCTCTGCTGGGTACTTAAAGATCGTGTTCTCTGGAATTTTGTGATACTTGATGCAATTAGAGGACATTTGTGTGATGACAGTGTGTTACTGTAAATGGGAAGTGCGTTTTCTTGCTTTTTTTTTTTTTTTTTAAAGATGACCGGTAAGGGGATCTTTTTTTTTTTTTTTTTTTTTTTAAAGATGACCGGTAAGGGGATTTTTTTTTTTTTTTTTTTTTTTTTAAAAAGACCCGGAAGGGGGTTTTTTTTTTTTTTTTTTTTTTTTTAAAAATGACCGGTAAGGGGATCTTTTTTTTTTTTTTTTTTTTTTTAAAGATGACCGGTAAGGGGATCTTAACCCTTGACTTGGTGTTGTCAGCACCACGCTCAGGCAGTGACCGAACCGGCCATCCCTATATGGGATCCGAACCCGGGGCCTTGGTGTTATCAGCACCGCACTCTACCGAGTGAGCCACAGGCCGGCCCCATGGTAAGGGGATCTTAATCCTTGACTTGGTGTTGTCACTAACCGGCCATCCCTATATAGGGATCCAAACCCGTGGCCTTGGTGTTATCAACACCACACTCTCCCAAGTGAGCCATGGGCTAGCCCTCTGAGTTTTCTTGCTTTTGCCTCCTCTTCAGGCCACTCGCTCTGGTGGGACCCTGGTGCTTGTGGGGCTGGGCTCTGAGATGACCACAGTACCCCTAGTGCACGCAGCCATCCGGGAGGTAGATATCAAGGGTGTGTTTCGATACTGCAACACGTAAGTACGCTGTGGGTGAGCTGGGGTGGCTAGCCTCCAGCAAGACCTGGGCAGGACCCACATGACCTCCAGGACCGAGTCTCTGCCTGTTTACTCATGAGGGGCACTCCCTGGCCACACTGACAGCCAGGTGATGTGACAGGGATCCAAAGAGAGAATAGAACATTCACTCCTGGTTAAAGAACTGGAGGGGCAGAAGGACAGAGGAGGGGACAGATGGAGGAGGGGGGATTTTGATGCATGCTCTTATTGGGTGTCTGCCATTCCTCACCCAGGCCCTCTCTTTTCCATTTCCTTCAGTGGCCAGATCTTCATTTTCTCCCTTTTAAAAGGAAGGAGAGAAAGGAGGACAAAAGCAAGAAATCAGTCCTTTGTTTCCCATTCCTGAGCCCCAGGGTCCACCGAGGGTATTGAGAGGGTCATAATTTATCCCACCCATGTTGTGCAGCTCCACTCTCTGCCCTTCTAGGGCCCTCTGTCTGGGCCATCCTTGCCCAGCAACATCCCTTACTCCTACCCTTAGAGTCTGCAGTTTCATGCCCTCAGCAGAGCACCAGTTTTCCTGTAAACTCTGCTAAGCTGAGCTGCCAGTGGGTGTGACTGGGTTATTCTGGAATGCCTCCCTGAGGCTTATCCGTCTTTTCACAGTGGCTTCCTTAATGTTCCTTATGCCTTTATGCCAAAGGAATTCTAGGTGTCATGGTGGACATTACAGATGGGGGGTGAGGAGTGGGGGCAATTGGAAACAGGCGCTGTATCCCTGAATTGCAAGCCATAAGGTCATTTGTTCCATTGTTGATCTGTAAAATTGGCTTTGCAGACCATAGTGCTGTAAATAAGAATGGCCAAGCTGATCTGTGGTTGGTAGTTTTAGGGACCAGGCTCTTTCTTCCTGAGGGTTGAATGCATTGTTTATGCTCTTTTACAGGTGGCCGGTGGCAATTTCAATGCTTGCATCCAAGTCTGTGAATGTAAAGCCCTTAGTCACCCATAGGTTTCCTCTGGAGAAAGCTCTGGAGGCTTTTGAAACATCCAAAAAGGGATTGGGCGTGAAAGTCATGCTCAAGTGTGACCCCAATGACCAGAATCCCTGATGTTAATTGGGTTTTGCCCTCATCCCCACCCATTTCAGGGCTGATGGCTGGGCAGGAGTAGGCTTTGATGCAGAAGTTTCTTTTGAATGGTAAGAATAATTAAAATAATTCATTATAAATAGAGAGCCTTACCCAGTGAAGTTGGTTTATCTTAAAGACACAAGTAGAGAGAGAGTTTCGGGGAACTTAGCCAGAGTGACTAGTTCATGCTGAGCAAAGTTCAGTGAGTAGGACAGAATTTGACGGGCAGGCGCTGGGAACTCCCCATCTTCCTGGAGTGCCTTCCTTGAGGGAGGAGAAAAGTCTGGTTCTACTAGGACTGACCAGGAGGGGGATGGGAGCTGAGTTGTGAAGGGACAACTTCATCAAGACTTAAATGGCCCAGAAACTAGTTTTCATGAAAATCTGCAACTCAGGGGCTGGGATGAGGGATTGTCAGTGGTTTTGGTTTAGAGCACAATGTTTCTAGGGATAAGTGGTATTTGGTTTGATGATAAAAAGAGAATAAGAAAAGGGACTAAGATAATTTTAAAACCAATCAAGTGGATAAAACCAAAATCCCATGTGAGTTCAAACCAGTTTTCATTCCCCAGTGTGAAAGGAACACTGCTTGAGGATTGTCTAAGAACACTGTCATTTTATTTGCAAGGTGAAGAACCACCTTCCCAGCACTACCCTTAGGCACAGTCCCTTGTCACTAGGCAACCAGAAGACTCCTACCTAAGGACAGTCAAGGGGAGAACTTAAATCATGCCTCTAACTAGTCCATCACACAGGATTAGCCTCCCCTCCTAATGTGAGTGAGGCTCACACTTGCTGATGATTATCAGACAATTTCACTTAATTCTGGCTATTATCAGCAAAACCTTTTCACTTCTCATAGCCAGTTAAGGCTCTTAGTATCTTTTTGTCTGTTGGAATGATATTTCTGAACTTGTCTTATTTTAATTGTGGGGTTTTTCTGTGTAAGATTTGGATCCAAATCACATCATACCCATTTGTGACTTACTTTGAGATTATTAATCAGGAATGAGGATATAGTAGCCGTGACATAACCTGGGCTGCAGCTTTTAATCTCTCACTTTGGCTGTGGGTGGAGAGTAAGTTTGAAGAGGTTCTGGTTTTCTTGTAACCAGAAGGCTGTGACCAGTGCCTGGAATTCCTCAAACTGCTTTGGGTAATAAATTCTGTTGGTGGTATCTGTCTCCTGCTGCCGTTTATGCCTCTGCTTAAGGAGGAAGGGATTTAGGTCACCTGATTCACAGAGGGAAGGATTCCAGAATTTTTATTTATTTTTCTTCATTTATTTTTTGATCCCAGGATTTCTAAAGGTGACACATTTTCTGCACCAAATATAATTTCATTGACTGTTGGGAATTTATATGAATCATCTCTAATCCTCACAGGAAGCCAAATACATATGATTATTTTGCAGATAGGGAAAATATCAATGCTGGAAGAGACCTCAAGATTTTCTAGCACAGCCCTTCAGTTAACAAGGGAGGAAGCTGAGGTTTGGATTGGGGAAGTGACTTGGCAAATCACACAGTGAGTTCGTGGCTGGTGCAGGATTAGACAGAACCCAGGAATCCTGGTGTCCAATCCTTTACAACATGCTGCCTCTCATAGGCCTGAGGGATAAAGGCTGCTCCCCACCCCACCACCCCCACTGAGCAGCTCCTGCTGACTGGAAGACTCACTGAACAATCTCTTGGCAGGAACAACATCTAAATGCCCTGTGCCCACTTTTAGGTGCCCAGGGAAGGAGCTCAGTGTCTGACTGAGCAAGGGCTGTAAGAGGAGAGGGAAGCCAGGAGTGAGCAGCAGGCGTGTGCCAGAGAACATCTGTGCTGTCTTGCAGGGCAGTGAGCTCCACCAAGCCACTTCACTGCTGCCCCTTCACCATCATCCCCAAGCCCTTGGAAAAATTCCATGTATGGAGGGACACAGATGGTAGAGACCTGCCTGTCATGAGGGATGTGGGCCCTAACCAGGACTCGTCACCTGTAGCCAGGTCCAGCCTTGGTCCTTAGCTGGCTGCCCGGGGCTAGATAGGCTTTGCTTCCCTGTCGTGTGGCCTCTGTGCCCTCAGCCTAGGCTGACATGATGAGCAGGGGACAGTACTGGGTAAAGGCAAATAGCCATTAAATCCTATCTGCCTCCCTTGCTCCTAAACTCTGGCTCTACCAACTCCCTGACAGCCTCCTCTCAACAAAGTATGAGCCAAGAGAGGAGGCAAGACTACTACACAAAGGGGATGGAGGGGAAGATTGAGAACCAGGGACTGAGTCCAGAAGTGACTACACCAGCATCTGCTGTGGTCAAAGGCAGACTGCAAGAGGGAGGTGCTGGAGCCAACGTGTCCCTTTTCTCCTTTGGGGTCTGCAGGGCAACCTCCCCCTTCTACCCTCTAGGTTGGCTGTAGGGTTTTTCCCAGCTTTCCTCCCCCCATGCCCCGCCCACCCCCACCCCAGTGCTGGTAGTGCCGGCTGGGTGGGGTCCTCCTCAGTGTTGACTGGAAACGAACCAGGTGTCAGGTGTTGGTGACAGCACACAGAGGCTGTCGGGCCTACAAAGGTTGGGGAGCTTGTGGGGAATTCATATTCTTGGTTCCGGGACTGATTCACCAAATCAATCAATTTTGATCAAGCATTTGGAGGAGGTGGTGGTGATAGGAATGGATCCCTGCACTTCCTGCAGCTCCTTCCATGCATTTCTGTACATATAAAACACGCATACATATTCTAAACATAAATAAGCATGTACTTTACCTCCTTTTTTTCATTTGCACCCATAACATAAGGACTTTTTAAAAAATGGCAATTATTAACATAATTCCCATTATCATTCCCAACAAAATTAACAGTAATTCATATCATCTAAAACCCAGTCTGTGTCAAATTTTCCCTAATTAACTAAAAAAAACAGGTTACTTTTTTACACTTGGTTTGCTGAAATCAGGATCTATACCCATTACACATGGTTGATATATCTCTGAAGCCTCTTTAAATCTATTATAGTTCCCCCTCTGTTTTGGTCTACATGCCGTTACTGTATTGAAGAAACTAAGTCCTGGGCCGGCCCGTGGCTCACTCGGGAGAGTGCGGTGCTGATAACACCAAGGCCCCGGGTTCGGATCCCATATAGGGATGGCCGGTTCGCTCACTGGCTGAGCGTGGTGCTGACAACACCAAGCCAAGGGTTAAGATCCCCTTACCGGTCATCTTTAAAAAAAAAAAAGAAACTGAGTCCTTTGTCTTCTAGATACTGTTTTGCAAACCTTATTTTCATTTAATAAATCGCTAACTTCTTTTTATGTCAATAATTACATCATTTTAAATCATATCCCACTGTATTATGTACTATCATGTATAAAGCAAATCATTCTACTTGGTGTATTTGTATAGTGTATTGTATGGTCTTGCTCTTATGATAAAATTGTAATGACTGTCCTTGTGCATACATTTTTGTGCTCGACTTATTTCCTGAAGTTATGTTTTAGAATAAAAATAGCTGGGTTAGAGGGTATACACATTTTAAGGCAACCTGGTTAGAGAAGAAAATAAGAATATTGATAATTGAGATTATCCAAGAAAGTCTCTGGTGGTATCCCAGGCAATGTATGATGTGGGAGGACTCTGGGATCTGGGGGAGCTCTCAGGGGCTGCTGAGGATGGGGCCATGAAACCATTGGCTCTCTGGCTTCAGGCCAACCTTGGGAAAGCTGGGGCTTGGGCCTTGCCATCCATAAACTTGGATTGGTCACTACTCCTCCATACCTCAGTTTTCTTATCAGTAAAATTGGTGGTCTCTTCCAGCTCAGGGACTACTGCCAGGACATGATAACAAAACAGTACCTGTAAAGGGCTGGTATAGGGAACTGTGGCTCAGCTACTGTGGAGCAGTAGACCCCCATCAATGAACTTATACTGAAAGCCGCCCCCCACCTCCACCCTACCACCTCAATGCCAAGGGACACTGGGCACCACCCACCAAACTTAATCACTGGAGAGAAGTAAGGGTGGTATGGGTAGAATGTATCTTTTTGGCTCTGACCTCTCTTAAGTAGGTGCAAATCCATGTGATCCATGTGGCATAGAATAACTTGGATTAGGTATTAATATGCCTAAATTTCAAGAGACTTGAATTTGTAAGACCCTTAAGGGACTATGTCTTCTGAGTGACTCAAATGCAATTGTCACATTGCTATTTTATTCACTTGCCATACACACACACAAATATACACATATATACATCTCTGTGTGTATAAAATGTGCTTATATAGATTTGTGAGTGTGCTTGCATATTTGCACCCTCTGCTTTCAGGAGCACCAAATGAATCATCTCCCTTGTGACCCATCATGTGGAATGAGATGTAGCTATCAGCATTGATAGTATCAAGGGATAATAATTATACACTTGATCTTAGCTAAAAGGCGAAGAAACAATGGATTTACACTTCTGAGGAACTTCTGGAAAAACTGTTATCAATAAGCAGAAAGAGGCCAACACATGACCTGAGAGTGAATGAGGAAGAAGCTGAGAGTCAAGGAAAACTAGTAATTTAGGGCAGAATAGAGAAAGTGACTCAGCTATGGCTTTGGGGACTGGGGCTGCTGGTTGGGCTTTCAATACAGCATGGGGACACACAAGCTCTAGCCTGAGTTCTCCTGGGCCAACCCCAATTGGGTTTCCCCTATACCACATACTAAATTCCCCCACCTTACTGCACACCCAACAAAACAAGGAAGGTCCTTGATTTGTTCACTGAGCTCCCAAAGCCATGCTGCCTTCTCCCAGAATGGGACTCTAGAGGAAGTGATCCTTCCAGGGGGAAGTTAGCTGGGGAAATTTCTGTCATCCAATTTACGTTTTGTCCGGGGTGTGCGGCAGACTGGAGGAAAAAGCTCTCCTGCATTTGGAAGAGGTGGTAAAGGAAGAGGCCAGTGGGAAGTTTGGATGTCCTGGGCTCCCTATATAAGAAATAGGTGGGTGCACATTAGGCTCCTTCTAATTCCTTAATGACCTTGAGCAACTCACTTGACTTCTCAAGCCTCAGTTTCCTCATCCTTTAAATAGGGAAAATAATATCAACCTCTGGGTTGTCATAGGGACAGAATGAGACAATTTTGAAGTTCTGAGCATGGCGAATGGCACTATGTTTGTGCTTATTGAGTGTTCATGCCCCTGCCATTCCCTCAGCAAATCTTATCTCTTCATCTTTTAAATGAGCAGGGTGGATGATCCCCAAGACTTTTCCAGCTCTGAGGTCTGAGTCTGCAAAGGTGCTTGAAAGTATGTGAGAAGTTTCCAGGGTGGCAGATAAGGCCTGAGCCTGGCTGTGATCCAGCGTTCAAGGCAGAGGACCCTTTTCTTTTTTTGGCGGCTGGCCTGGGGATCTGAACCCTGGACCTTAGTGTTATCAGCACCATGCTCTAAACAACTGAGCTGACCAGCTAGCCCCTCTTTCCTCCTGTATGAGGTTTCTGTAGAGGATTTTGCTTTCTGTGTCCTTTTAGATTAGGTCAGAAGAAAACATTACCTCATCTTGTTTTTAAAACTGATTTCTACTGTAAGGAGCTTTACCAATATTTTTATCATTCCTACTATTAATTTCTTTTGACAATTAAGTTATCTTTTAATCTCGTTTTAGAGAACTGTGTATTGAAGTATTTCCTCCCCCAGCCTTATTCACCCTTTAGTATTATGTCCCTGTCTAAAAATCCTGTTGAACCTGTTTACTCCCCTAGTACTCACAATAGTGTATCTGATACACCGTTTAATTGGTCCTCATGACATTAGACATTGCTCAGTTAGTCTCTCAGATCACGTCTCTGTGTTCATGTCCCCGCTGTTCCTAGTGATTACTTCTGCAGCCAAGGACCTCTGCTGATGAATTCTCTCAAGGCTTCCATTTCTTGAAATATTCTCCAGAAGGAGAGAAATAAACTGGGATCCTGATCTTATGTTGCTGATTTCTTTTCCTTCAGGTTGTGGGGCTTTTCTTTCAAACTATTCTCTTCTCCAAGGCTTGAGAAGTGATGTCTAAAGACATTTTATTCTAGCCTGTTAAAGTGTATCTGTCTAGCCCCCAGTAACCACTCACCAATTACTACACCCATATTTATATGATACTATTTATCTCATTGCTGAATCCACAAAGTTGGCAAGTAGATATGTAGGGAAATGTCATGGAGGATTGTA